AGAAAGAGACTTAGTGGCTCAGTTGGCATGCCTTGCAACTGTTGTGAACCCCTCCCCTGATAGAAATAATCTTCAAGGATGAGGGAAGTTAGACATTATATTTTTTTCTTTAAGAGAGATGAAACCGGCAGTAATTAATTTTGGAGTCACATTTCTCTTCGTACTAATGACTAAATCTTTGACTGAAAAGGAATGTTTTTCCCCCTGCTGAATAGACAGCATTAAGCAGAGCCTACCTCTCTCCCGCCAACTTTCTTCAGCGGCATACTTGGAGGGCAGAGCGGCCTGAGGCACAACAAACAGGAAGAAATTTGGGACCTGGTGTGAGGGTAAAGTTGTTTGTTTCTTGGGCAAACAGGTCAGGACAACCACCTTCCACAGTTCAGGGCCCTGGGGGAGAATGCTGAAGCAATGGCTGGCCTCTCTCTCCACCCAAGGTAGATGCACATTTGCCTCCTGTTCCCTGTTTAAAGTTGGAGAAGCAGCCTGCAAGCTTACCAGTTATTTCATGTTCTCAACCTTATCCCCTCCTCCTGTCTGTCAGCAGCTTGGCTGAATTGTTAATGTTCCTTTGTCTACTCTCAAAGAACTGTCATCTGTCCCTCTGTGTAATCCTGGCAAGAGATGCAGGCTATGGGACAGGAAGGGTACTTTAACCTGCCTCTGATGAAGTTTGGGGCCCCGGAGTGTTTATACGGCCGGGACCCTGTGCCTCCACCTTGGCTTGCCCTTTGAATCTCTATCGTTAAGTTTTCCCCTTGCAGATCATACCATCTCAAACTCGTTCATTTTGTGAGATAGGGCTGGGTCTGATATTATCTCACAACATGTCTTTTCTGTGGATTGTAGATAATGCAGGGAAGCTCCCTGGCTGCGGCCATGGCAGAGATGCAGATGCCAATTTGATTGGTTGCCACTCACATTTGTTTCTTCCTGTGATGTTATTCAAGCAGAGGGATTCAACGTAGCCTCAGAGAAAATTCAAACTACAGAGCCTTATCAATATTTATCAAACTTGATAAATAGGCAAACAATAGCACCTCAAAAATTGGGACTGAGGAAGGAGCATTTGCAAACTTCAAATGGTTTTCAAAAGCTTTTTAAAGATATGAATTGCACAAGTTCATATCTAGACTTTCCTACCAATGGGTTGCCAATATTTTTTGGCCATTTTGCAGCCAGATTCTAGTTTAAGCAGCCCTCACGTTTTAGCCCCTATTACTCTTCAAAAGCTAGAATTTGTCAGACAAAGTATTTGTCAGATTTATTTTCTTTCATAGATCCTCAGAAGCCAATTAATTTATTATTTTCCCTTCTCTTGTTCCTCACACAAGAGCATCAACCCAAGGAGAGTGCCTTTAGAACAGCTTTCTTTGAAGAATTCTTCTCCTAGATCTGTAGAAACGTATCCTGACCAGATGGCAGAGTTAATTACACAAGGTGGAACTTGATGTGAACATTGAATTTCACACGATCCTATTTAAATTGTTTTTTGTCTTATGCCATCTCAAATTAACACTTTCTTGGCACAAACTTTTAATTGGCTGGTTGATTTTTCAGAATATACTGGACAATTAGATTGTCATTCTTCTTCAGGCCAATTTTTGGAAATTTTTGAAGACTGCTTCTTGGATTGTAGCACAGAAAGCTTTGTCACCAGCTGAATTATATTTTACAGCTAGCACCATGGACAGTTTGGGGAGATAAGCCTTTGTGCACGTCTCCATCAACAATTTTTCTGGATTTCTTTGGTCTACACCTCATATAGATGAGGCTACAAAAGATGTTTTTGTTTGTTTGACTTATTCTTCTGTTTTGGTCGTTCCACAATCCATAAAACAGATCATGCACCAGCCTACTCTAGTGATTTTTTCTCTTTTTGCACAGACTGGAATTCTTTATAAACCAGAAGGACGAGCTTTCTTTGAATGTGCTCATGGGACAAGGAAGTTGCAACTGCAAAAAATAAAAAGGGGAGAAAAGGAAGTTTCTCCTCCAAGAAATGCATTTGCATTAATTTCATTTTCTTTAGAATGTTTTCTTTGTCATAAGATTTAAATAACTTCATGCTGAAAGGCAATTTCCTTCTCCTCCTCATCCGTCTTGGAGACTTACTGAGGTGCAGTGGAAAGGTGATGATGGAAATTAGACCCGAGGCTCGTTACTTGCCCAAGGGAAGGGCTATGCTTGTGTTTCAACAGAGAAGAGTGGGTGTGCATGGATTCATTTGGGGCATATCAGACCATGAGGATGATATTCCTGCCCTGAGCCGTTGGTTTCAGGATGTTCCTCCAGGGACAGTCTCAGTCTGAGATCTAATGGCTCCTCCCAGGGTTCTGACACAGCGGATGACAGGTTTGAAGATACAAGAAGCACCACACAGAAAGGAGAAGCGTGCTCAACTGACCCAACTACTTGGGGTCAAATTAAGATGTCAAATTAACAGGTCAAATTAAGAGGTCAAGTTAACACAACCAACAACTGATGTACTGAAAACCACCACGTCTCCTGAGACTCCTGAACGTATGGTTTTGGCCAAGTTGGCAGTACTTGCCGTCTCCTCTGCAGCAAGTGTGGACCACTCCTACTGAGTTCACACTGAGAGACTATTGGCGTGGCATGGTGAGGGCATCGCACCTATTCATCCTTAGTTTTTGAAACCAAGAATGGGACTTGACCATTAAGATTTATGGAAAACACCTCTAGCCACAAAACCCATGGCAGAACGAATATGGGGAGTTTCACGGGTACCAGCTGGTTTATTTTCATTTTAAAAATGAAACATGATTTTTTTTGGTGTGAAATTGTCATGTATTTGCTGTTGAAGACATCAAGGTAAATGACATTGTGTTTATTGCCACCTGTCTTGATTGAAGATTGTATACATGTCTTAACTGGATTTTGTATGTACACTTTTATAGAGTATTCTCATTTTAGACATGCACATTCCATGGAAAAGTAGATGGGATTTGGGTTCCTACTTAACTCTAACCTCAAAACAAGAAGGGTTTGTTCTAATAATATGGCCTTGCTTGATGCTTTGATATTCACATGATCACTGACAATAAGAGTGCATAAGCAAATGTGGTGAAGACAGCAGATGGTGCCTGGCTATCAATTGGTTTAGTGTCTGGGGTTTTAAAGACTTGTATTCAAACAAGTAGCCATTTAGGAAGGATTCAACGAAGTCCACATGGAAGAAGCATATTAGCATGTGTGATCCAAATATGTAGAAGGTAAAAGGTATCAAAGCTTAAATTGTAAACACCGTTGTGAAAGGTTATGGAGTACAGAAGAAGCCCCAAACTCATATGCAAAGTATTTAGTCAGATTGACCTAACCTGAAATTGAAAATATTTCTTGTTTAATGTTTTAAATTTTGTTGATTTTTTTTTTCTTACTTATGAGTTGTATCCTTTTTAAAAATTTTTAATCATTTTATTTGGAGCTCTTACAACTCTTCGCAATCCATACATCCATCCTTTGTGTCAAGCACATTTGTACATATGTCGCCATCATCATTCTCAAAACATTTGCTTTCTACTTGAACCCTTGGTATCAGCTCCTCATTTTCCCCCCTCCCTCCCTGCCACCCCCTCCCTCATGAACCCTTGATAATTTATAAATTATTATTATTTTGCCATATCTTACACTGTGTGATTGAAGTGTTTTGGACTATTGTATTATACAATAAAAGTGAATAATGACCCATATCAATTTGACTCTGATTAGAAAATTAAAAAGGGGAGATGTGCAGGCACAATTGTTTGCTCTTTAGGCAAATGGGACAGGGCTACCACCTTCCACGGTTCAGGCAAGGCCTGTGGGCAATGCCGATGCTCAACCATGGGAGCTGATGATGCACTGGCTAGTCTGACTCCCAGTCTGAGATCAAGTGGACATTTCCCTCCTGTCCCCTGGCAAGGATGCTGAAATGCAGCAATCTGCAAAATATCAGTTACTCCTTGTTCCCGACTTTATCCTCCGCCTCCAGTCTGTGAACAGCTTGTTAATGTATCAATGTTTCTTTGTATGCTCTCAGATAATCATCAATTATCCCTTTGTGTGGAACCTGTCATGAGGTGCAGGTTATGTGACAAGGAGTGTTTATAAGCCTGCTTCGAATACAGTTCTGGACCTGGAGTGTCTATTGCTTCAGGGTCCACAAATTCAGACTGTATCTTTTCTCTTAGTATCTATGAGTTTTCTCATTGCAGATTGTGTCCCTCTCAAACCCATTTGATTTGTAAGATACGAGCTGGTCTCGATTAATCTTACAAAATTGGATTTGAATAATTTTTTTTCTGTCAATGGACCCATTAAAAGAAAGAAAACAAAAGCTACCCATTAAGATAAAAATAATGTATAGCAGTCAATTGAAAAGTCAACTAAAGCAGTCAACAATGGTAAGAAAAAGAGGGATACAATCACATGGTGGTGAGGAGAAGGAGAAAGTGGATCATGCATACATTAGTGGTAGAAAATGACACAGTCACTTTGGGAGAGGCATCTTGGAAAATCTGAACATGCAACTATCATTTTTAATAAGTGAAAAAATTAATTAGCATTGTTATGCCATCTTTAAAATAGTCCATGAGATATAGTAGAATGCATTGCTATAATCCTGGTACAAGCAATTCATTTGTTTGTACAAATGAATGAGGAACCATTATTAACCTGTAGCCAAATGATAATAACTGGCTCTATTTTAAAATGTGTCCATTTTCTAATTTGGTAAATATTTTTCTTCTTCTTTGTTAAAAATCATTTTATTAGGGGCTCATACAACTCTTATCACACTCCATACACACATCAATTGTGTAAAGCACATTTGTACATTCATTGTCCTCATCATTCTCACATATTTTTGATAGATATTTTAATCGTACATGTGAAATATATTAATTTAATAATATAATTCAGGATTCAGACGCTTGTCCATTGATACCAAGTTAAGCCACTACATTGTACATAAAATAAATAAAGAAAAGAAATGCCAATGCCTTTAAATTCATTTTATTTCCAGGTATAAACATCTCTCAGGTAACATCACTACAACACTTGGTTTATGGGGTTTTATTGTTTGGGGAAGGTCTTAAAAAAAAGGTCTATTACAGAGAAGTGTGAAATAAAAATGCTTTATAAGTATATATATATTTGAGAAGCCAGGTAACTAGATTGTAATCCTGCTGAAAGAATTTATCTAAGATTAGAATATACAATTTAAAAAAAACTTGCATTAACATGTCTTCTGGTTATAGTACTTGAGAACATTAAAACGATGTCTAGTTTCCTCCACAAAGAGCCACCAGGATTTTTTCATAGTCTCCCTTGGTTTCATCCTGTTGATTCAAAAATATAGTATATTTAATGCTGTGTAAAACTATAACCAATACATTTTAATTATAGAATTATACATATTAGTAAGTATGAGTAAGAACTCATACATCACAATATATAAATTATTTAGAAAAATGATAAAAAGTTATTCATTTAATTAGATGACATGTACAACATATAACTAGTACTTGTTGCATGGCTACTGAATAAACAAATAGCTTTCAAGATTAAGATTTTAAAAAGAGATTCAGACTATAAATTACTCTGAATTGAGTGAGTCTATTTTATACTAGAGTCATTTTTTTCCTGATAATAAAATATAATAATATACAGAATTGAATTAAGAATAACACAGTATAATCTCTCATTGTATTTGAAGAAGTATGAGACTCATTTAAAAAAGGAACTTTCAAGTTTATGATTTTCTTCATCTCTTTCAGAGTAGATCTTAGTCATTGTTTCCCAAAGGGAATGATGTCAGCCCCGGGGGGCACTGAACAATCTAGCGAGCTGCAAAAGCTGTTACCCACACTTTGTCCTGGATTGTCAACTAGACGACCAAAGTTTTTAATGGACAGGGGGATCTCTGAGGAATTTTTTTTTCTGACAGAAGGCTCTAGATCAAATGCTTATGAAAAGATATGATCTTAGATGTCCAATAAAATAATAAATTAGTTTAAATAACTTTCTATCTTTTAATACCTTCAAAGCCCATAGCTTTTAAGTTTTAGCATTGTAATGAGATAACATGAATGTGTATATACATATACATATATATACATATATATACATATATATATGGATTTTACATATAACAAAATTGAAGAAATTTTTAAGAATAATAAATTAGAAAATAACAAGTCACCAAATTTATTTGAAAAATAAGTCAAGATTATTTATTGACACTAGCAAAAAGTCTAAAATATTTGGTTGCTTAACGTATGCATGGAAACCTAAATATTTCTGTGACTTTGGTTGAAAATGTGTCCAATTTTTAGTCCAAATTCACTAGAGTATTTTACGGGTGGAAATTTAATGTACTCAGGAAGTATGCACCCTAATTCAATGACTTAATCTTGCATGTGAAATTTACAAAGTCAAGAAGTCAGTGCGTCTCATGAAATAAGTTGTATTTGTTGGGGCAGGAGTTTGAACATGACAACCTACCAGGATGGCTTGGCAAAGAGTGATACCATACATCTTCTGATAGAATGCTTTGATATCGTTCATGTCAACTTCAGAACGGGAAACCATAATCCTGATCAGAGCCTTATCACGAGTTCCGACACCCTGTTCAAAAAGATCGGATTGGGTATTTCATATTCAAAACAGATTTACCTCAAAGCAGGTGTGGCTTTAAAGTGTAGCCCTTTTGCTCTCTATGTACTCTTAGAAACTAGCTCCTCAAAATACACAAGCGCATGCAGTTTACTCAAGTGGTGATGAAATGACCGAAAACCAACTGCTGGATTACCCAGAAAAACAAAGAGCTTTTAAAAGATCCTACGCATTCTGTCTCCAACCATTCTATAATTTAGTATATACATTATTAAGTAATTACAAATAAGGTGGACTTTCTAAATTTCACATCTAATCATGTTATTCATCTATTTGAAACTCTTCATTTGGTCTTCTAAGAGCTTTGGTAAGCACAGTAGGTCATTACTAACTACAAAGTCGGGGGTTCAAATCTGCCAGCCATTCTTCGGTTGAAAGAGGAAGCTTTCTGCTCCCATAATGACTTAGATTCTTGGAAACCCTACTGAGCAGTTCTACTCTGTCCTGAAGGGCCACTAGGAGTAAAAAATGACACTACAATAGTGGGTCTGAGGATCGGTCCTCTTTTGCTCTTAGGATAAGAACCAATCATTGTATCAGCTAAAAATGCCCTCCTGACTTCTACAACTCCTTCCATTACATTGTGTACACTTTCTGCATTTTCTTCCAAGCATCACGTGAGGTTTTACTGTAAAGGTTTGCAACCTTGTGTTTCTTCTTTGGAGTTACTTCTGAAGTCTGAAGTAGATGATCCCCCTCTACACCCCAGTATTACCCGGTATTCATCCTGACCCATCTTCATGGCCACTGGATAGAAGCAGACGTGGTGGCAGCCTGTGCTTCCCTCTATGTAGCCTATACTGTACGTCATTTATGCAGCTGTCTTAATACGAATCGATCATTAGCTAGCCCTGAAGACTTCCTTATTTGGGAGTTGCAGTGGAAATGCAAGGATAACCACATTTGGGAGCTCAAAATATAAATGTGCAGGTGGTATCTTCTATCATAACACGAATGTTAGAGAATAAAGTACAAGGGACATGATAAAAGTGACATGTACAATATACTTAATAACATCTTCTTGTCATTATGGAATCACATTTTAAAAGATGCAAGTATTAATCTGTCCCATGAAAGACAGAGTAATAAAAAAGCCAAGAATAATAAAAAAGATAAATGAAACATTGAAAGGGGAAGAGTATAAAAGTCGCAGCCACAGCAGAAAGAGGTTCATATAATCACACTCTCAAAAAAAGAGATTATGATCTTTCCTTGCTGACTCAGGCTTTAAGCAAATCATAAGTAAGCCACAAATCACTTAAAAGCTAGCCTTATTAATTTTCTTAGGAGATAAATAACAAAGCTAAGGAAATTTTATTTAAATGATATCTACAGTCTATGGAACCATATTTTTCATGGGAAGATATTAAAATCCACATGATTTTCAAATAATATAAAATTTCCTGATCTTCAATTTGCACTCATTTTTCCCCCTAAGGAAATCATAAATGGTGTTGACAACGAATACTGAATATGCCCCAGGCAGCCAGAAGAACAGGCGTCTGTCTTGGAAGAGGTACAGGGAGAATGATACTTAGCATGGAGGATGCCAAGACTTCCTCTCATGTACTTTAAACATGCCAGCTGAGGGGAGGAAGCGTTCTTGGCGAAGGACCTCGTGGTTGGTAAAGTAAAGGGTGAGTGAACAGGAAGTAAACACTCCACATGGTGGACTGCCACAGTGGGCTAGCACATCACGCTGGTGAGGAGAGCCAGGAGTGGGGAGCTCTTCCTTTCTGTTCTACACAATAGCACGATGATATGATGCAAAAGGGTTTCAACAGCATCTTACAACACAAACAAGCGAACCACATAAACCCAATAAATACCTTCATGGCCTGATGAAGCTTCTCAGCAAAGAAAGCTGGTTTGCTTGTGGCACACTTCGCTGTAAGAGAGACAAATTTGAGTTGATCTCTTTATTGCAAATAAAAATGAAACATGCATATGAATGCAACAGGGAATATAATATCACCATGAAGATTTTATTTCGCATGCCTACTCCTAAGAAGGGGGAAGGTCTTATCAGAAGATATTTTGCCACTCCCTAGAGAGTGGTTTTGGAAATTCTTGTCTCTGATAACCATCACCTCAGTCCCATTACTTTAATAGTTAGAGGTGTCCTGAGTGTATTGTCCGTGGAAATAAAAGATAGACCCGATGGCATATAACTGAGTGCTTTCTTCATGTTATAACAGCAATTATGACCCAGGGTAGGGCAAACTTTAAATATAATACGGTTGCCTACAGAATCTTCTGTGACCAGTCTTATGGTTGTGTACCTAAACCCAACCCATTGTGAAGTCAATTTGCAACCGATACCTAGGTCCACAAACTGTGATAAAAATGCTGGGTCCCAGGCCCCCCCTCAGACGGAGGATTTTGAATCAGCATCTTCACTATATTCCCAAATGATTCCTATTCATATTTAGGAAGCATTGCTTTACCAGTTGGGCTGCTAACCCACAAGTGGCAGTTGGAAACTACCTGCCTCTCCTTGGGCAAATGATGAGGCTTTCTGACCCGGTAATGATTCCCGCCTGGGAAACACACAGGGTACGTTCTCTTGGTCCTATAGGATCGCTATGAGTTGAATCAACTCAAGGGCATTGAGCATTTGAGAGGCAGCTTTACAACCAACTTGACAAGCATTGGGAGGTGGCACGGGTTTCCAATGCTGGGCAACTGGGAGAAAGTTAAAACACAGATATTTTTTTCAGAAACGACTGAGACCTACTGGCTCACAGTCCCTTGGACTTGCTCAAGATGAGTAAGTGGCCAAAGGAGGCTCTATGAGACCCCAAAGCCTGTGCATTGACAATATTCTGACTCTACTCCGTAGCAAGGAGCTTATCTCCTTTACCCTTGCCCCCTCATATATAACTGAGGATTCGGAGGCGGTATGGGGGAGAAGCTATTCTGTTTTAATTAATTTTAATTTAATAGGCATCCTATTAAAATACAACTTCAAGCTATGACCATCTTGCAACTTCAAGGTTACATACCAATAGCGGTGAAACACTTCTCAATGTCACCTTTCAGCTCCAGATCCAGCACTTTGTTCATGTCATGCTGACTGTATTTGGTGTATTTCTGAAACACTGAAAATTAAATAGGAACGCAAACATGTGTAAAACCACCTGCCCTTTAGGAAACTTTAGCACAATTAGAACAACTGACTCAAAAATCCCTCCAGATGACTGGACTTCAAGATACACTGAAAAGCAAACAAACAAAAAAATCCCACTTATTCAAATGGGTCCCTTATGTGTGTGCCTTTTGACTGTTATAAATGAACTCCCTCATTTCCTTTGCTGCTCCTCTTTATTTTAGGGGCAATCCGCAAGTGTTGAAGACGATCGAAAACGGCACGTGATTGACAACCAGAACATTTCCTACTGCAGAGCTAAGTGCCATGGCAAATAGACCTTCCCTTCTATAAGGGTCCATGTGGCCACGTATAAACCATTATAAACCAGTAGGCTTTACTTAATTATCATGCTTTTCTTTTTGTGTTGATTTCTAGGAGAGTCGGGGCCAAATCACGTGCCCACCGGTCAGAACTTGGCTTTGGTTATTGTTCTCTGAGCATGTACACATGCTTTTATCATTTAGACTCCACCTGAAAAAACCTTATTAGCATTTGTACGTGTGTCTTTTGCTACATGTTAGAAACATTGTAGAGGAAACAGAGTGAAAAATGATAAAATAATGATCCACAAGCCAAAGTTATAAAATGTGTGTCTCAAACATGATTGAAATACTACTAATCACATTTGACAAACAGATAAATAGTAACGATGGATCGTGGGCACACCACACCCATTTTACTTGCCCTGTCCTTACGGATCCTCAAAAATGAAATGTTCATCTTCCCGAAGCAGACCCCTGATGCCAACGTCTTCCCCCGCTTACCTCTGCGGAGATGGTTGTAGCTTCTGGTGGTCAGAATCTTAGTGAAAACATTCACATCCGTCCCCTTTCTCTTTTCTCCTGCTTCATACAAGGCCTGAGAAAGATAACAAAAAATAAACAAGTGACAATTGGCTGAAATAATGAGATCTTTTCCAAAGAATTTTAGACAGTTGCTTGGATTCCCATATCCTTAAGAGGAGGCCACACTAAGATGGAACGTGTTTCCAATATAGGGACCCTATTTTGTTTGTCAAGTATCTTCCACCGGATCTCTCCAGGTACCTTGCAAATACTAGAGACTGAAGATATGTTTGCAGAGCAAATGTTTACTGGATTAAATTTCTTTAAGCTCACAGTCTAGATGACGATAACTCTAAGCAACTATCTAATATCTTTTTTTACTCATTATTGCTCACACGTATTATCAGCAAATAGTAGTAATAAGTCCACAATTAGGAAGATTCTGAATTTTAATCAGACCTGAAATTCCAATTCTGCAACTTAATAGCAATGCCATATTAAAATGAGTCATTTAACTTGATTAAACTTCAGAGTTTCCTCTTTTGTAAGTGAAAAGTTAATCCATGTTCTATTGCTACAGGTGTGCTCCTGAACTGTGAAATGTTAACAACCATCCTTTCCTTGGGTCACACAGTTCCAGGGAGGATCAACAGATAGTTATCCAAAAGTCTGGGTAGGCTTAAAATAAAAAGTAAATCCAGAAAGACGACAGTAGATAGAAATCATTTTTATTCACGTTAGCATTTTCTTTTGGTCTGCTGCTAAGGCTCCATCAAAATGATTAGACATCCCAAGAAGATAAGATGTTATATGGAATTTTGAAGGGAACTTACCTGGCAGGTATATGCATTTATTTAACAAACAGCAAATGCCTACTATGTGCAAGATAATATTCTGGTCATGTGAAGGAGTACAGAATTATATTTCCATGTGTTTTAAAATATTTCGGTGAAATTATACAACGACTTCTCTCCCATGAGAAATGGATAGTAACTTGCGTGTTTTAAAAAGAGAAATTTTGGCGCCTCCGGTGGGAAAATTGTCCAAATGTTGCCGATAGATTGGTGTATAGATAATCATGGGCCTTATCATAATTGCTTTTACGTTATTCAAATAGCATCGCGATATTTTTCCCATCTACACTTGCATCCATTAACTATTGCAATAGTTGAGGGTAAACGATCATTAGCTATGCTTATCATTTCTACTATTTGGAATTATATTTCGTGTAGTTCTCTTCTTTTGACCTGGTAAATGAAAATTTAGAGTTTCTTCAGAAAATCAGTCCTTGAGAATGATAAACCAACTCTTACTGCTCCCTTTCAATTTTCTCTGGCTTCATAAATAACAGGAGCTATTGCTTTATAAATAAAGCAGAACCCTGGTGGTAGAGTGGTTATATATTGGCCTGCTAACTGAAAGGTCAGCAGTTTAAGACCACCAGACAGCTAGCTCTACCAGGGAAAGATGAGGCTTTGTCCTCTTGTAGAGAGTTCCGGTCTCAGAAATGCCCAGGGACTGTTCTACCCTCTACTGCATATGGTGACTATGAGTTGGCACTGACTTGATATCCATGAGTTTAGTTTTTTGGGTTTATTAAAAATGAAGCTTTTTTTCTCCTCCCTCTCCCTCACCCCTCCCTTCTTTCTCCCTCCTCTCCCCTCCCCACTCTTCTCCCAGCTCTCTGTTGTCCAAAGGTGTGCATTATTCAGAGACTGAACATTAGGGAGCCAGTGGCCTCTGGAAGATCTTAGATTTACTTTGATATGGAGAGCGTGCATGGTAGAAAAATCACTCCAGCCATGTTCTATAGACACTAACATACCCTGGCATCCGTGTCAGCCAAGTCGTCATTCACACCAAAATCTTCAGATCGGTCACCCTGGGAAAAAGCAACAACAACAAAAAAATCACAAAACTATTGTGAGGCATTTTCTCTCTTTTTAAAAAATTTATTTATTTAATTGTTTTTTCAAGCCCCCGATGGGGCTGCACCATCCCTGGAAGTACTGCAATACCAGGATGATGCATGGAGTGGATGGAGCAAGTTCCTGATCCAACTCCTACTTGCAAAAATACACTTAATATGATGTCCTCAGATAGAGGATGTATCAGATATTAAACTGATAAGAACAGATACTACACATGATCTTAGCCAAAAGGCTGAGAAGCGATTGTGAGGCATTTTCAAGGATGGAATCACATGATTTACATAATTTTCCTAAAATCAGAGCAACGGCATTATATAGACAAAGCATCATCTGATAGTTTCCACCAAGAATTCAAATCTAAGATTTTACTCTCTTACATTGTGAAAAGCATTGGAATTATACCTTGGCGAGAGAAAGCAAAGCCTTTTGAAAATCACCAGATGTGTCGGAGGTAATGTCTTTGGCCAGATCTCTCTTCAGTTCTGAAAAAGGAAAAAATATACTTTGTAATAAACAAATGGAGAGTAAATGAATCATTTATGTCTACAATGGTGATTTAAGATTTCTATCAAATAATTAAAAGCACCTGGATTGTAAGTTTTTTCCTGGACACAGATAACATTTTTCCTTGGAGACATTTTATTTGTTTGGTATATACACCTTTTCAAAACAAAGCAAAAGATTTAAAAAATAAAGTACATCTCTGATGAATGTATTTCTTTAATGTATGTAAATTGAAAGCTTTGAATCGAGCTTTTCTCATTATAATAATATGAGGTAATTTGTTCTAGAAGAGTATTTTCTGCTAAAGCTACGCTTGATGAGAGTGGATCCTTGTCTCCCTGTTAGCACCTTAACAACTTGAATGTAGTCTCTTAAGGGTGCTGGCATTTAATGTATGAGAGGGCACCCCAAAACACCCGGATGTGATGTGAGAGGGATAGTGCATCTGGAGTTCGTTCCACCAGGTCAGACTGTTAATCAAGTTTTCTATTTAGAGCTTCTGAAAAGATTGTGTAACAGTGTGCAGAAAAAAAGGGGGCCTGATTTGTGGCAGATGGGAGACTGGTTTTGCCACCATGACAGTGACTTGCTTACACAGTCATCTCAAAGGGCCAGTTTATGGCAAAAAACAGCGTGCCTCTCTCGCTCCATGCACCTTACTCACCTGAACTCGCTCCCTGCAACTTCTTTTTGTTTCTGCTAGTGAAGAGAAACATGCAAGGACAGCGATTTGATGACGTAGAAGAGGTGAACAAAAAAAAATGAGGGAGGTGCTGTCAGCCACCCAAAGAGATGATGGAATTGTAGATTTAACAAATGTATTAAGTGCCATGGAGAGCACTTGGAAGGTGATAAGATTGTTTTGCTAAAAAAAAAAAAATTGAATGGTTTTGGGAAAAAAAAATTCCAGAATTTTTTGGGTGCCCTCAGGATATGTGCTAAGCAATGAATGCTCTCTTTAATATGCAGCATTTCCAATGCCCCATGGATCAACATTTGCATTCAATTTTAAGAAAAAACATCAGAGTTCCTTTCCAACTAAGTCACTTGGAGAGCTCCGCATTACAATTTACCATCTCTGTAGACTCTGTTAATGTCCCTGATCTCTCTGTTAGTTCTTGATGCCAAAATTTCAATGAGGGTGTCCTCATCAGTGCCAAGGCCCTGCGTTGAAAAAGAAGAAAGAAAAAAATGTGTGAGAAGACCTGCATTTAAGGGGATCGTGTAGCTTCTAAATTCTAAGATTTACATGAGTCTTACACTTAGTAAATGTTTTCTATCGTATTTCATAATCACTGTAGCGTACAGTGAACCCTCGCCACTTCACGCTTTGACTTCCGCGGCTTCACTCTATCGCGGTTGTTGCGTAACAGCGCATGCTCTGTCATTACTGCCACTGATTGGCTCATACTGTACACGCTTGATGCCATAAATAATATAATAAATAATAAATGATAATTGTAACGTCCAAAATGTTTTACTGTATTTTTCCCTTTTTCGTTTAATAAATTGGGTAATAGAGTGTAATGGTGACTAAAGGGTGTTTTTTCATGTCCTCTATGCTCTAACTACGAAAATATTTGATTTACAAATAAGGAATCCTACTTCGCGGAATTTCATTTATGACGGTAGCGTCTAGAACCGATTAACCGCGATAAACGAGGGTTCACTGTATGTTAGATTGCTTTGGTGGCATAGTGGTTACACGTGGGGCTGCGAGCCGCACGGTCCGCAGCTCGGAGGGAGAAAGACGGGGCTTTCTACTTCTGTAAACAGATACAGTCTCGTTACGGGACAGGCGGTCATTATGAGTCAGCACTGACTCAAGGGCAGTGACCTTGGTTTGGGTTGCTTGCTTGTGATGTTGCTTGAAAAGAAAGAGACTCAGCATTTCAAGTAAGGACATAAAAAATGCAGACAGATGACTCCTTCCTGAGGACACAATAGACACAAACAGACGTGAGCCATACAGTCTCTTGATAAGAGATGTTGGGTTCAAATCAGATGGTTGTACCTTCATGGCAGCGCGGAGTTCATCAGCATCAAACTGGGCGGGAGTTTTTAATAGAGCCAAGGCAACTTCCTCCAGGTGGCCTGTGAAGGCTTTCTTCAGAGCTTCATCCAGGGGCTATAAGAAACCAAGTAGAATCAGGGCTTCTAATAAGGGATGTAGAGGGAGCCCTGATGGTGTAGTGGTTACGCGTTGGGTTGCTCAAAGCAAGGTCAGCAGTTCAAAACCACCAGGCACTCCTTAGCAGAAGATGAGGCTCTCTCCTCCTGTGAAGAATTGCAGCCTCAGAGCAGTTTGTACTCTGCCTCATAGAGTTATGAGTCAGGATTGACTCCATGGAAGTTGGCTGGTGGTTTTATTTCATATACGAAATTGTATCAGGTATTTAAGAATTCTATGCAACCTTTTAGATCTACAGTTGTTAGAATGAAATTTTTTAAATACATTGATAACTTCTCTTAGGATAAGAGCCACAACCTTTTTATAGGGGGGGAAAAAATCACACAGCTGCAAATGGAGGGGGTCAAAAACTAATACAGATGGAAGTGTTCCTAAAAAGTCTTTGAAAATTATGTATTAGTAATGCTTTCAATACCTAAGGCTCTTCGGACATAAATAAGCAATATAATTAGGTATTGGCATTATTTTAACTTGTAATTATATTATTTTTTTAAAATTACTCTTGTATAGTGTAAAAGATATAACACTTTTTGTTTTTAAGCCAACAGTTCAGTTTGGTAAGGGGACATATTCCTCCTTGCTACCTAGCCTTGCTATTTATTATATTCAAATTAAAGACGTCTCTGAAACAGAACACAAAATTGTTGAAGAATTTATACCAAGACAATTTATTAAAAGAAAGATCACTTGGATTGATTCAATTTAATAAAAGCGGACTCATACAGAAAAGGTGGTTTAGGTATAATGGGAAAGCAGTGTATGTTTACGCATCAATAAAAATTGAAATAAAGTATCTATCCTCACAATTATCACTTACTTTTCCTTTCTCTTGGAGGTATGCAGCTTTGATTTGCTGGCGTTGAGCATTGGTTCTCTTAGTCAAAATGTCAATGATGGTTGCTTCATCCACACCTGCAAATAGAAGATCAAACGCCATGAACTTGCTGTGTAGTGATGGCTTACATGTTGCGATGATGCTGGAAACGGTGCCACTGTTTTACAAATACCAACGGGTGTCATCTATGGAAGACAGGTTTCAGCAGAGCTTCCAAACTAAGAGTGAATGGGAAGAAGAGGCTGGTGATCTACTTCCAAAGATTAACTAATGTGAAACCTTATGGATCATTGCAGAATATTTTTAGATCTAGTGCTGGAAGATAAGCATTCTCAGTTGGAAGATACACTCAAAATACACAGGGTACAAAGCAATGGAAACAAACACTCCCATGATGAAGAGGCTGGGGAATAGGCAACATTTTGCTTGTTACAGATAATATTGTTAAGACTTGGGACCCACGCAAAGGCAATTAAATAATAAGCTTTGAAAAACAATTTTCCTCATCATCAATGATGGAAAAGTAAACATTAAACGATTCATGATCAAGTCATTCTTCTGCTGCTCTTGTTTTCCTCCCTCTGAGTATTTACCTACAAGTGTATCAAATGTTCTTTCAAAGAGCAAATGAAAATCCAATTTCAAAAGTCAGTAGATGCTTTAACAAAAAAAACTCACAAATGACCTACTTAACTATAAACTATTCATGTCTAGCAATACCAAAATTGTTTATTCCTTTTAGTGCCTTTTCCAAGACAGATTTTTCTTCTAATGTGAATTCCATTTTATTGTTCTAAAATTTCTTTCTTTAAAAAAACTCATTTTATTGGGGGCTTGTACAACTCTTATCACAATCCATCCATCCATCCATTGTGTTAAACACATTTGTACATTTGTTGCCATCATCATTCTCAAAACATTTGCTTTCTACTTGATCCCTTAGTATCAGTTCCTGATTTTTCCCCTCCCCCACTCTCACCCTTCCTCCCTTATGAACCCTTGATAATTTATAAATTATTATTTTTTCATTTCTGACACTGTCTGATGTCTCCCTTTACCCACTTTTCTGTTGACCATCCCCTAGGGAGGAGG